GGCTCCCCAAGCCGCTCCCGCGCCTCGCTCCTCCCAGAAACCACATGGCCTGCTCCCTCCCGCTCCCGGCGGACCCGTCCTCTTCCCAGACGGTTCTGGCTCCCCGGGCCTCGTCCTGCCAGCCCCTGTGTCCTCCGACTCCGTGGTCTCCAGGGTCCTCCTAGGGACAGTCCCGTCCTAGGACGCCTAGGCCACTCTGCACTGGACCTCGTCACCGCTTCTAGTCAGCTCTGAGACCTCAGCGGGGAGGGCCCTTCCTTCCGCAGGTCATTCAGTAACGTAAAGAGACCTTGCTGTCCACGCCCAGAGCCCCTGAGTTGGCACTGCCCTGGGCTCCCAGCCCCACCTAGGGGAGCTGCTTACAGAGAGGAGAGCAGAGGCAGGCAGCCCACTTGGTCTGGCCACTGCAGTGCCCACACCTGGCCCATCCCACCCTGCTGAGCACCAGACCACAAGGGCCAGTGCCCACCGCTCCCCAGCACAGGGCAGGAGTATGCTTGGAGGAGGCCAGAGCCAGGGGCAAGGTCGCTGCCCACACAGGAGGGGCTCCCCCACCCCAGGACACCTCCAGGGCTCTGCTGTGGACTCAGTCCTTGCAGAGGCCAAGCCGGTGAAGTGAGGCCAGGCAGAGGGGCACTGTGGAGACGTGGGTGGGGGAGTTGGGAACTGCAGACTGAGGGCCGGCTCTGCCTTCTGTCCCGGGTGCGGTGGGAGTCTGGAGAGACGGAGCCACGTGAGCACATGGACCCAGGAAGCCAGGGCTGTGCCCTGGGTCACACTGGGGCGAGTGAGGGAGATTCCCGACTGCAGCCAGCAGGCTGGCTCTCACACAGGGCAGCCCCGCCCCACGAGATAAAGCGCAAGGAGTGTCAGCCCTCCGGTCTCCTCCCTCCCATGAGCTGTCCTTGTGCTGGTGGCTTCATGGCCCAAAGTGGCTGCCATAGCCCAAGACATCACATCTTTACAGCACCATCTCAGACACACAAGTGGCGGGCACAGGATGATGTGGAGCTTGTTCAGATCTGCTACAGGGTGCCTGTACTGAGTG